AATGTCAGTTTCTTCCATTTTAAATTTATTTCACCAGTTTGCAGTATTGAAAATAATGGATTTTTGACAATATAGAGTTTTTCCCTTATTTATGTATATATAATGAGTTTTATTTTCAAAACGGTCAACTGATCTCAACTTCCTGCATATACATTTATACACATGATATCTACACATGTATGTGTTTATATGTCTCTGGTTCCCCACATAGTTTATTTTCATAATTTATTCCTGCCATACTTAAGGTTCATGTTGACCCTTTGGCTAAAATGGCTGCATTTTCACCTCAAAATTTACTCTGAGGACAGACAAACCTGCGCATCTGGAAAAGTTTTAAGGCATAGCATGCCCTAGATAAATAAACTTCTAATGCATTGTATGTTTTAGAAAATTTAAAACTTAACTGGATTTAACAGTGCACTTTTTTTCGTCCCTGCAGAAGATGATAAAATTAACAAGCAGTTGAGTTTCACTTGATATGGTCCACTCAGGTACACAGTTTAAATCACCAATTATTGTCAGGTATCTATTGTCCATCTATTGTCCATGTCAATCAAAACAGTTCACTTCAATTATTACCTGTGGGGAAGTTCTCAAACCTCTTTCCCAACTTTGTTTATTTTGGCACCTTCTGGTGGAGTGAAAAAAAGTGCACTGAAAAATCCGGTTAAGTTTTTAATTTTCTAAAACATAAAATATATTTGAATTTTATTTATCTAGGGCATGCTATGCCTTAAAACTTTTCCAGATGCACAGGTTTGTCTGTACTCAGAGTAAATTTTGAGGTGAAAATGCAGCCATTTTAGACGAAGGGTCCACATGAACCTTAAGACCAATAGAATAAAGAAAATGTTTTAATCCAGCCCATCGATGTGCATAATAGCTTTTTAATGGTCTCACAGACACCTGAAATACACATAATTTTCAGTATTTTATGGAATTGATTTAATAAACTTGATAAATTGGATATAAAAATGAAATTGAAAGACATAACTGTAAAGGATTGATAGAATTTTATTTACATACAGTAAATTCAAATACTATTTTAATTTTTGTTAATAAAGTACTGTCAAAATAGCTTATTTTTATACGACCGCAAAAATTAAAAATTTTTTGGTCGTATATTGGTATGACGTTGGCGTCGTCGTCGTCGTCGTCGTCGTCTGGCATCGTCCGGCGTCGTCCGAAGACACATTGGTTTTCGCACTCTAACTTTAGTTTAAATGAATGGATCTCCATGAAATTTTCCCATAAGGTTCAATACCACGAAAGGAAGGTTGGGATTGATTTTGGGGGTTATGGTACCAACAGTTAAGGAATTAGGGGCCAAAAATAAGCAATTTTGTAACTTCCAGACAATAACTTGTGTGCAAGTGTATGGATCTCTCTGACATTGTACCACAAGGTTCCATATCACAAAGGGAAGGCTGGGATTGATTTTGGGGGTAATTGCCTCAAAATTTTAGGAATTAGGGGCCAAAAAAGGGGCAAAAAACAAGCATTTTTCTAGTTTCATGACAATAACTTGTGTGTAAGTGTATGGATCTTTCTGAAATTGTACTACAAGGTTCCATATCACAAAGGGAAAGCTGGAATTGAGTTTGGGGGTAATTGCCGAAACGTTAAGGAATTGGGGGCCAAAAAGGGGCCAAAAATAAGCATTTTTCTAGTTTCCAGACAATAACTTGTGTTCAAGTGTATGGATCTCTCTGAAATTGTACTGCAATTTACCATACCACAAAGAGAATGCTGGGATTGATGATGGGGGTAATTGCCTCAATATTTTAGGAATTAGGGGCCAAAAAGGGGCAAAAAACAAGCATTTTTCTAGTTTCAGGAGAATAACTTGTGTATAAGTGTATGGATCTTTCTGAAATTGTACTACAAGGTTCCATATCACAAAGGGAAACCTGGGTTTGAGTTTGGGGGTAATTGCCCTAAACGTTTAGGAATTTGGGGCCAAAAAGGGGCCAAAAAACACATTTTCCTAGTTTCCAGACAATAACTTGTGTTCAAGTGTATGGATCTCTCTGAAATTGTACTGCAAGGTACCATACCACAAAGGGAAGGCTGGGATTAAGTTTGGGGGTGATGAATCATAAGGGGGTTCAAAAAATTGAGGGGGGGGGATTTTTTTTTTTTTTTCTTTTTTTTCTTTTTTCCTTTTTTTTTCTTTTAAAATTTTCCATTTTAAGTTGGTTATTTCTGATTTATATTTAAAAGCAAATAATAATGATATGGTAGGAGATACACACCAAACAGGATGTGTAAATTATTATATAATAAATATTGTGCAATAGCAAGAAATTTTCAATTGCACAGTATTGCACAATAGCAAGAAATCTTCAATTGCACAGTATTGCGCAATAGCAAGAAATCTTCAATTGCACAGTATTGCGGAATAGCAAGAAATATCAAATAGCACAATATTGCGCAATAGCAAGAAATTGTCAATTGTACAGTATTGCACAATAGCAAGAAATATTCAATTGCACAGTATTGTGCAAAAGAAGATACTTCGTATAAATTGCTTATTTCTTGACCAATTTCAATGGGGTTTTGTTCTTGAATTTTTGGGGTTCTTTAATATGCTGAATCTAACCGTGTATTTAGATTCTTAATTTTTGGTTCCGTTTTCAAATTGGTCTACATTAATGTCCAAAGGGTCCAAAATTAAACTTAGTTTGATTTTAACAAAAATTGAATTCTTAGGGTTCTTTGATATGCTGAATCTAAACATGTATTTAGATTTTTGATTATGGGCCCAGTTTTCAAGTTGGTCCAAATCGGGTCCAAAATTAAACTTTGTTTGATTTCAACAAAAATTGAATATATGGGGTTCTTTGATATGCTGAATCTAACCATGTATTTAGATTTTTGATTTTTGGGCCCCGTTATCAACTTTGTCCACATTGAGGTCAAAAGGGTCCAAAATTAAACTTTGTTTGATTTCATCAAAAATTGAATTCTTTGGGTTCTTTGATATGCTGAATCTAACCATGTATTTAGATTTTGGATATTGGACCATAATAGGTGAATGTCCAATTTAAAATTTTTAAGTTCTTAGACCACATTCATTCTGTGTCAGAAACCTATGCTGTGTCAAATATTTAATCACAATCCAAATGCAAAGCTGTATCAAGCTTGAATCAGTGTTCTCCCCAGGCCCTTAAAGGACCGCGGGCCCGCGATGTATAATTTTTTACCGCGGTGGTATCGTTCTTACCGCGATGTATAATTTTTCTCCGTAGTGCTAAAATTTTCAGTTAAAAAATCGTAAATCGGTAAAGTTTTAAACGACTTGTTAAATCTTTTCCGTGCGGTGTAAAATTCCAGGTGAAATTTGACCAGTTCAAACCAGTTTATCACAGATTGTTTACACCACGTGATCGATTTACCTTATGAGGTTAACCTTGTTGATTGCATTTAATCGATGTAATTAACACTTGTAACATGATTCTTTTGTGTTTTAATTAAGAGTTCATAACTTTATGATCACAGATAACTATTTTATGGCTTCACTCTCCACCCAAGCACTGACCTGTGACAAGTCGGTAAATACTTTGTACACAAACAGTGTCTTGACCCGATAGGTACATTTTGTGTACATCATAAAGGTGGCTAATTAAGTATAATGGACAACTATACATTTCCCAATTCTTATAATATAGTATTATATGTCTCTGATTAAACCATGGACAATATTATCTTTAAGTATGACATAGTTATTGCATGATAGTCGGGTTTCAAACTGTAGATCAACTATAGTATCTGTCTGTACATATCACATGACCCAGTTAGTTCACGTAGAATATTCAAGTTTATTTACAATTAATTGCAATCTATTATATTTTATAAATAAAATGCATGACTGTACCTTAAAACTGGATATCAATATCCATAATCAATGAATAACAGAAGTAATCTAATTCTTGCAAATTTTATCCAAAAGCACATGTTAAATCTATTTATATCTACTATCTGTCATTTAGGCGGGAAAATAGGGAGACTTAGTTGTTGACATTGAATATGGTTACTTATAGATCTATAAACCAAAGATAAATTTATAGATTTAGGAATTCCTTTTAAATGGTTCATGACAAATAAGATTTAGATTTCAGGGCAGTATTAAGCCTGTATCTATGTTTGATTATCACCAATAGAACATTTTTGTTCACTTTTAATGATATTTTATTTTTATTGATTTTGGATTTTATAAAAGATGTAATTACTTTAAATTCAGATGAATATTTTATTATAAATCATAATTTATTTATTTTAAAAAAATATTAAAGTATACAAACTGTTTTTTGATTTACTTCTTTTTTACCAATAATTTTCTGAATCAATGTCTACATAACACAGTACCACAGTATTAAAACAAAACAAGAGACATAAAAACTACAGTAACTAGAGCTAAGCGACGCGACAAGACACAACTGATTGCATGAAATATTTCACCAAGAAGTCCACACGCGTTACCCTGGTGCTATCCAAATATCCTGGGGAGAACACTGCTTGAATGTTGTATCCATACTTGCCCCAACTGTTCAGGGTTCGACCTCTGCGGTCGTATCAAGCTGCACCCTGCGGAGCATTTTATTTTTATTATATCTGCTCAAATTAGGCCAAACTAAACAAGACACATGATTAAGGCTCCTTTGAGCCTCTTAGATTTTAAGGACTAGCTGTCGAGAATATGTGAATAGAGGAAGAAAACGTTCTACATGTTATAAGTTGTAATCGATCTAGAAATGCCCAAGCGTTGACCGTGCACACATTTTTAGAATGAAGCGCTTCCACGCTTCATACAAAGTGTACTTCGGTCAATGATTTTACAACCCAATTTACAAAAAGAAGCATTCAATTCTTAAATATATGAAATAAGTGACGTTCTCGTATTGTGTTCACGCCGTATTTACATTACTAGCTTAATGAGATTTGTTAATTAAAAAAATGTACTTATTCACTTGATGTTCAATCTCTTTTTAAAGGTCTGTGACAGGGCTCACTATTCCAGATAATGTTACAGCTGAAACATTTCCAGTCACAGCAACTTCTATGTGAGTACTCTCTTGAAATTGTCAACTAAATTTTTGGTATTTCATGGGTTTGTGCCTTTTGAAAATGCTGGTTATATATCCAATTCAAATTAAAGTCATATGAAACTTCAAACTTAAAAAAAAAGTGATGAAAGAATGCAAACAAAAGTTCTCTTGAAGGTAAATAGTAATAACAGATTCTTAAAGAAAAAATTTAATACAAAAAATCATTTCTGTTAAGGAAAAGTTTGATTAGCAAATGGGAACACATGGAAAATATAAAAACAAATATCCTGGCTCTTTCAATTGACTTATCTGTCATGTTATCCACATGCTCTGTCTTCATTGTGTATCAATATCACCATCTGGTAAACTTTGGCAACAAACTCAAAAATTAATCAGCTAGCGATCAACAATCACTGAATGAAATATTATTTGTCAATAAATACATTATAGATGTGTAATAAATATAAAAAAACCTGCATGCAAGACTTAGTTTAGTATATATACATGCATTTGTTCGATGTGTAATAAATATAAAAAAAACCTGCATGCAAGACTTAGTTTAGTATATATACATGCATTTGTTCAATAATTTCAATAACATTAACATTTCAAGAAACTCGTTGTATATGACTTTAATTATTCACTCAATTGCATTTAAAAATCTTTCTGATTGTATATAAGAAGTTTGAGAAGTAACTTTCCTTAGTTAATGTATGTTTTTTTTTTGTTTTTCAGAAACTTTTTAGGATGTACTTTTACAAATATTTCAGAAGATACATTTTCCAACATAACTGGTTTAACCACATTGTGAGTACAATTTATCTTTTAATTAGTTTTAGTCTGAGAGGCCATGAAAGCTATTGCCTTCACATAGAATCAATCTTCAATTTGATTTCCTTATATTTTCAAATAGCAGACTGATTATGAACGTATAAGACAGGACAAGCATCAGCAAAATTGGGTACATATTCCAAAGGGACATTCAAACTCATAAGTTGAAAATAGATTGACAAGGCCATGGAAAAAAAAGACAAAATCAAAAGACAAACAACAGGACACAAAACACAATATAGAAAACTAAAGACTGAACAACATGAACCTTACCAAAATCTTGGAGTGATCTCAGGTGTTTCAAAAGGGTACGCAGATCCTGCTCCACATGTGGCACCCACACAAGTACAAATCCAGTAGTTAGTCTAATTTGGTAGGTCACAATCAAGGAAAAGATGACAGGATTGTGGTTATGAAATTTGGAACATATCCGTCATCATCTGTGAAATAGATAATTCCATAACTGTCAAGTAACTCTTGATTGTGTCCCAAAAAATTTCGAAGGGACAATTTCAACTTCACCACTTGGAACTCTTGGTCTAATATAGCTTCCTTGTAAGCAGCAACACTTCATCAGGGAAATCATGATAGGAAATGCAAACTCTGGAATATTGTATCAACTGGGAAATATATACTCCATATGCAGGCACTGCAATAAGGGTGTATCATGCACTCTTGCCATAGATTTTATTGCGTGTAATACACACTAACTCAACTGTATACACATGGTTGGCAAATTGGTTCTTTCTTTACATGCTATCTTACTCAATCTTGTATATTTATGTTAACTCTTATAATAAAACTTTTTTTTTATTGGCCTATAAAATATAAGACCTATAAGACTATAGTCTTAGTTTTTGACTATTGTATCATGTAATATTAGTCCTTATTTCTTAAATAGCCTGGAATTGGTACGAAAAAACTATATTCATGAGTTTAAAAATTCCACATATTAATCTAAACACATATTATAGTATCAACATTATATTTTGTATTTTATATTTACAGAACAATTCGCAAGAGTGGTCTAACTTTTATGCCAGATGTCAGCAAATCACAGATAACCACCCTGTAAGTAGAGGATGATATCCCAAGGGTTGACTGGGGTATAGAAATATGTTCATCTTTTGGTCTTCTTCTCAGCAGTAATACTTTTGCCAAAGTGTGGTGTCTTTTTGGCTTTGTGGGATGTATAATTTCACAGCTATGTCCTGTCAAAATGTGGACCTTAAATCAAATGCCTTGTGTAGATAGAGTGCCAAACTGTCTGCACATTTAAACACCCTTGCAACATCTCTTTGAGGGTTTAGTAGGTGGCCTGTTTGTTGCAAGACTGAACTTCTGTCCCTACCCTCATTTTCCAGTGGCATTTCAAATTTCCCACCTTCCTTCCCTGTTTTTGGAAGGTACAGCCTTAGAGAACTAAGAACATGTTGTGATTTGTTGAAATCCTGGTAAGGGGGTACTGGGGTAATTAGTGGTTGGTAAACCTCAAAAGTTCATGATTTTGCCTATAGAGATACAATTTACTTGAATGCCTTGGATCATCAAAGCACAAATCACTCAACATGCTCAATGTAATTAATCATGTCTCTTTCTATTTGTAGGAATTTGATAGACAACAGTATAACACTGGATTCTAAATACAAGGGAACCCTTCCAGATACTATAGAATATCTGTAAGTATTACAAGGGAACACAACCAGTCACAATAGAATATCTGTAACTTTTACAAGGGAACACTACCAAACACTGTAGAATATCTCAGTTTTTCAAGGGAACACTACCAAGCACTCTAGAATGTCTGTACGTTTTACAAGGGAACACTACCAAGCACTCTAGAATGTCTGTAAGTTTTACAAGGGAACACTACCAAACACTCTAAAATATCTCAGTTTTTCAAGGGAAGACTACCAAGCACTCTAGAATGTCTATTAGTTTTACAAGGGAACACTACCAAACACACTAAAATATCTAAGTTTTACAAGGGAACACTAACAAGCACTCTAAAATGTCAGTACGTTTTACAAGGGAAAACTACCAAGCACTCTAGAATGTCAGTACGTTTTTCAAGGGAACACTGCCAAGTACTCTAGAATGTAAGTTTTACAAGGAAAACTACCAAGCATTCTAGAATATCTGTAAGTTTGACAAGGGAACATTACCAAGCACTATAAAATGTCTGTAAGTTTTACAAGGGAACACTACCAAGCACTCTAGAATATCTGTAAGTTTTACAAGGGAACACAACCAAACACTCTAGAATGTCTGTAAGTTTTACAAGGGAACACTACGAAGCACTCTAGAATATCAGTAAGTTTTACATGAGAACACTAACAAGCACTCTAGAATGTCAGTACATTTTACAAGGGAAAACTACCAAGCACTCTAAAATGTCAGTACGTTTTACAAGGGAAGACTACCAAGCACTTAGGAATATCTGTAAGTTTTACAAGGGAACACTACCAAGCACTCTAGAATATCTGTAAGTTTTACAAGGGAACACTACCAAGCACTCTAGAATATCTGTAAGTTTTACAAGGGAATACTAACAAGCACTCTAGAATGTCAGTATGTTTTACAAGGGAACACTACCAAGCACTCTAGAATGTAGAATGTCTGTAAGTTTTAGAAGGGAACGCTATCAAGCACTCTATAATGTAGAATGTCTGTAAGTTTTACAAGGGAACACAACCAAGCTCTCTAGAATATCTGTAAGTTTTACAAAGGAACACTAACAAGCACTCTAGAATGTAGAATGTCTGTAAGTTTTACAAGGGAACACTACCAAGCACTCTAGAATGTCAGTATGTTTTACAAGGGAACTCTACCAAGCACTCTAGAATGTCAGTACGTTTTACAAGGGAACACTACCAAGCACTCTAGAATATCTGTAAGTTTTACAAGGGAACATTACCAAGCACTATAGAATGTCTGTTAGTTTTACAAGGGAACACTACCAAGCACTCTAGAATGTCTGTAAGTTTTACAAATTACAAGGGAACACTACCAAGCACTCTAGAATATCTGTAAGGTTTACATGGGAACACTAAGAAGCACTCTAGAATGTCAGTACATTTTACAAGGGAAAACTACCAAGCACTCTAGAATGTCAGTACGTTTAACAAGGGAACACTACCAAGCACTCTAGAATATCTGTAAGTTTTACAAGGGAACACAACCAAGCACTCTAGAATGTCTGTACGTTTTACAAGGGAACACTACCAAGCACTCTAGAATATCTGTAAGTTTTACAAGGGAACACTACCAAGCACTCTAGAATATCTGTAAGTTTTACAAGGGAACACTACCAAGCACTCTAGAATGTCTGTAAGTTTTACAAGGGAACACTAACAAGCACTCTAGAATGTCAGTACGTTTTACAAGGGAACACTACCAAGCACTCTAGAATGTCTGTAAGTTTTACAAGGGAACACTAACAAGCACTCTAGAATGTAGAATGTCTGTAAGTTTTACAAGGGAAAACTACCAAGCACTCTATAATGTCTGTATGTTTCACAAGGGAACACTACCAAGCACTCTAGAATATCTGTAAGTTTTACAAGGGAACACTACCACACACTCTAGAATGTCTGTAAGTTTTACAAGGGAACACTAACAAGCACTCTAGAATGTCAGTATGTTTTACAAGGGAACACTACCAAGCACTCTAGAATATCTGTAAGTTTTACAAGGGAACACTAACAAGCACTCTAGAATGTAGAATGTCTGTAAGTTTTACAAGGGAAAACTACCAAGCACTCTATAATGTCTGTATGTTTCACAAGGGAACACTACCAAGCACTCTAGAATATCTGTAAGTTTTACAAGGGAACACTACCACACACTCTAGAATGTCTGTAAGTTTTACAAGGGAACACTACCAAGCACTCTAGAATATCTGTAAGTTTTACAAGGGAACACTACCAAGCACGCTAGAATATCTGTAAGTTTTACAAGGGAACACTACCAAGCACTCTAGAATATCTGTAAGTTTTACAAGGGAACACTAACAAGCACTCTAGAATGTCAGTACGTTTTACAAGGGAACACTACCAAGCACTCTAGAATATCTGTAAGTTTTACAAGGGAACACTAACAAGCACTCTAGAATGTAGAATGTCTGTAAGTTTTACAAGGGAAAACTACCAAGCACTCTATAATGTCTGTATGTTTCACAAGGGAACACTACCAAGCACTCTAGAATATCTGTAAGTTTTACAAGGGAACACTACCACACACTCTAGAATGTCTGTAAGTTTTACAAGGGAACACTACCAAGCACTCTAGAATATCTGTAAGTTTTACAAGGGAACACTACCAAGCACTCTAGAATATCTGTAAGTTTTACAAGGGAACACTACCAAGCACTCTAGAATATCTGTAAGTTTTACAAGGGAACACTAACAAGCTCTCTAGAATGTCAGTACATTTTACAAGGTAACGCTACCAAACACTCTGGAATATCTGTAAGTTTTACAAGGGAATACTAACAAGCTCTCTAGAATGTCAGTACATTTTACAAGGGAACACTACCAAGCACTCTAGAATGTCAGTACATTTTACAAGGGAACACTACCAAGCACTCTAGAATGTAGAATGTCTGTAAGTTTTAGAAAGGAACGCTATCAAGCACTCTAGAATGTAGAATGTCTGTAAGTTTTACAAGGGAACACAACCAGGTACTATAGAATATCTGTAAGTTTTACAAGGGAATACTACCAAGCACTATAAATGTCAGTATGTTTTGCAAGTGGACACTAACAATATAAAATAGAAGATGTGGTATGATTGCCAATGAGACAACTCTTCACAAGAGACCAAATGACACAGAAATTAACAGCTATAGGTCACCGTACGGCCTTCAAGAATGAGCAAAGCTCATACCGCATAGTCAGCTATAAAAGGCCTCGAAATGACAAATATAAAATAATTTAAACGAGAAAACTAATGGCCTAATTTATGTACAAAATAATGAACGAAAAACAAATATGTAACACATGTACAGCAACAAACGACAACCACTGAATTACAGGCTCCTGACTAACAAGCCCTATAGAATGTCAGTACGTTTTACAAGGGAACACTACCAAGCACTCTAGAATATCTGTAAGTTTTACAAGGGAACACTACCAAGCACTCTAGAATATCTGTAAGTTTTACAAGGGAACACTACCAAGCACTCTAGAATATCTGTAAGTTTTACAAGGGAACTCTACCAAGCAATATATTATATCTGTACATTTAACAAGGGAACACTACCAGGTACTATAGAATGTCAGCAAGTTTTACAAGGGTACACTGTACCAGGTATTATAAAATATCAGCAAGTTTTACAAGGGAACACTACCAGACAGTAGATGTAAGTCTTCTAGTTGATCATATATTTTTTATTCAGATGTTCTGAACAACCTGGCTTAATTAAAATTCCTATTTAATTTCAGAGCTTTGACTAACAATAAGATTTATTGGTTACCATCAGGATTTATCAATGGTTCAAATCTCCGACTAGTGTAAGTTTATGTAGACTTAGTTGACCTATCGAATTAGACTAATTACCAGGTTTGTACTAACATGAGCAAGATGACAGGTGCCACATGTGAAGCAGGATCTGCTAACCCTTCCAGAGCAACTGAGATCACCCCCAGTTTTTGGTCTGTTGGTCTTTTTCTTTTTTTTATGCCGTGGCCTGGTCAGTTTATTTTCTACTTATGAGTTTGAATGTCCCTTTGGTACCTTTTGCCTCTCTTTGAGTTAGAAGCAATAAGCAAAGATAATGACCATACATATCAATAAATATTTTATTCTTTTTGCAAAATTTGTTTTTAATGCAACTCCCCCCCCCCCCCCCCCCTGGAAAAGAACATGCTACAGTTAATAAAATACATTTATCTGTCTTGAACAAAAGATCCGTTTTTGTATTAACACTGGAATTAGATTCAACATAATTTGTTTCTTTCATAAATAAAATTTATATTATTTTGTGAAGGGGAACAATTTCTAAGTTTTACAGTGATCCCTGTCTACACAAAGCAAGTGAAAATTCTTTAAAGCCATTGTTCAAGTCAACATGAAATTTCAAAAGTTTGCATTGTCAATTCAAGGATCCTTTAATGTAAGGGTTGTCTCCCTTTGCTAACATTTATAAAATTGACAAACAAGTTTTAAAAAAAATAACCATTGGAATTTGATTTACACTTGTAGGAGCCTTGGAGGCAATGAGTTTGTTAATTTTCCAGCAGCATCACTTGGTGAAATTCCAAATATCATGTATTTGTAAGTATATAAGAGTGTCAGATTTTACTATTGTTTCATGTTACAAGAGGAAGATCAGGTATCATATATTGTAAAATATCTTTTTTAAAAGATATCCTTTAACTTCTAATTTTCACTTTATACTAGACTTTCAAGCATAATTAAGCATGTTTCCAATTACTTTACACCTCTTTGTGTTAAAATATAAATTAATTTTGTATTTCAGTGGAATAGAGAGTAATCAGCTGACCAAGATCTCATCAAACCATTTATTACCATTAAATACTTCAACATTCGTCCATCTGTAAGTTGTCTGTTTGAAATTCGCCATTTCAGAATCTAATGCATTCTGGGTAATATTTTCAAAAGTGTACACCAAAGCGTCGTGATTGGTTAACAACATCCTAAACAATTGAAATTCAACCAATGATGTGACGTTATTTTCATTTTGCGGTACGAACAATAAAATTACCCATTGTCCTTTAGATTCTGAAGCGGCCTATTAGTATTGCTGTTTCGTTATTTCTCAGAAATGTGTTTTTTAAAAAGATTTTTAAACCTATCATTTGATAAAATATCAATTTAGCTATTTTTGAATATTTCATTGAGAGGTTGTATCTTTTGATCTTTTAACATTTGTGTTACTACAATGCCAGGGGCATAGATATGTATCAAATAAACTGTAGGCACAAATTGCAGCAGGGGGTTAAGGGGGGGGGGGGGGGGGAAGCCCTCCAAAGGAAAACAGAAAACGGTTTTTAGCATTTTTACTTTCCAATTTTTGTGTACAAAAAACATTAAATTTACTGGTCATTTTATCATGAAAATATACATAAAGAAAAGTTTGAAGAATTATATATAATTTTACAATAACATCTGACTGATGAATTAACGCAGTACAATCGGAAATCTTAAAAAAATAAAATTATTTATAATATGCAATGCCCAGCGTTACAGTAGATCAGCGTAATAACATAAAGTTACTATTTTTTCTGCACCAGATGCGCATTTCGACAATCAATGTCTCTTCAGTGATGCTTGAGGCCAAAATATTTGAAAATCCAAAGCTTATTAAAAAGATGGAGCTATAAACCAAAAAGGACAAAAAAGTATAGCCAAAGCCGGGCAAGGAATCAGAGCTTTTCATGAGGGAGATACATTCCTTAATTTTTAATAATTCCAAAATTTTGTAACAGCAAATTAACCCTTTAATTAATCAGTACATCCTGTTTAGTATTTCCATATCTATTCCTTTCTGATTGAGGATAATTGATATATATGTCAATTGATAGTACATATTGATGATCCTTTATTAAAAAATAGGCATGTAAACACTGAGACTACTATATAATAATACTATCCATTGGGCTTGGCATCGACCATTCATCTTTTGATTCTTAACATTTACCCTCCCCGGCCACACAAACACACGCACACACACAGTAGATGCCTAATGCAGGAGCTCAGTTCTGTTCATACTATCTAACAAAATCATCAAGAAATTCATATTTTCTGATATCCTGTTCTGTAAAATTCCTACCTGCTAAGGAATTTGAAAAATTATGGTCATTATACGACACATATCTGAGAGTACTCGAAGTTACTGAAAGCTAGTTGATTGATTGATTGCTAAGTGTCCAGTGGCAAATAGTTCGTGCATGTTGAGGACAAAAACAAATTTACAATAAATACAACAGGTAGGTCCTGTAATAGGGGTCATCCAGGATGAAAGTCTGGAAATTTGGAAATGCCATTGCAAAAAGAGGGTTTATTGGATAGGGACAGATATTTTGTCTTTCAGCAAACCACCTACAGACTCCTCAAAGACTTGTTGCAAGTGTTCTTAACATGCAGAGAGCGTGGTCCCAGCATTCTCTCTCCTTTAGGCATCGGATTTAACATCCCCATTCTGACCAGACATATGTGAATGCGTATTTCTATATACGCACAGCCAAATGGACTCCCCACTTTGGCAAGGGTTTTATTGTAGGTCGGATGAAGACCCAGTAGAAAGCTAGTTGAAACCAACAACAACTAATGAAAAAAAATCATGTATCTAAGAATAAAATGTCAGTGTTTGGTTTGAGCATTGAGGTTTATTCGAGTATTTGTTGATAGAAGTGAACCAAAGTTCTAGTTTTTAGTTTCTATATAAGGTTTAATATAATGGACAAGTCTAAATTGAAAACAACGTTCAAACCTATGATTGCGTTGGATAAAAACCGCAATTTTTATACTTGTGCATGCAAAACAAATTTCCTGTTAGAGGGGACTAATATAATGTATATACAATTCTATCCAATACTTCATTTACCAAGGATGATACTAGACTAGTGTACAAATGACATTTGATAACTAAAGAGTTTTGACGACTTCACGTGAATCTACAGACAATTGTCATTTTTTTTTTTTTATAAAAAAATATTTGTGAAAAATTATGTGAAGGCACGTGCCTAAAGTGCCTAATGGCAGCTCAACCCCTGAATGCAATGCAGCAAATGAGTAAATAAAAGATGTTTAAAGTCCCCTACTGTCTGTCTGTCTGTCTGTCCATCCTTCAGTCCGGCAAATCAGTTTTCCACACTTTTTTTCTTCATGCTTAAAGATATTGATTTGATATTTGGTATATAGTTTTATCATGACCAGTTACAGATCAAGGTCAAATTTTGTTCCCGTCTGATGATTTTGTGCAGAGTTATGGTCCTTGGACTTAGAAAATTCACGCAAATAATCAGTTTTCCATCCTTTTTTGTAATGCTTTAATATATTGATTTGATATTTGGTATGTAGTTTAACAATGACAAGTTACAGATCAAGTTAAAATTTTGTTCCGGTCTGATGATTTTGTGCAAAGTTATGGTCCTTGGACTTAGAAAATTCATGCAAATAATCAGTTTTCCACACTTTTTTTTTGTAATGCTTGAAGATATTGATGTGATATTTTGTATATAGTTTTACCATGACAAGTTACAGATCATGTTCGAATTATGTTCGGTTCAAATGATTGTTTTGCAGAGTTATGGTCCTTGAACTTAGAAAATTCACGCAAATAATCAGTTTTCCACACTTTTTTTGTCATGCTTGAAGATATCGATTTGATATTTGTTATATAGTTTACACCATGACAAGTTATAGATCAAGTTAGCATTTTGTTCCAGTACAATGAATTTTTATCTGGTAGGGAACTATGTATTGCCATGCAATTCTCTCAGAATGCTTGTTGTTTTTGATTTGTTTCCCATATAGATATCTTGACCTTCAGAGACAACCATGAGTTGAGTAATAGAAATTGGGAGTTCTTTTCTTTAGTCATAATTATAGAAGATGTTACATGCTTACAATCTTTTAAAAAGATAAACAAAACTATACAGATATTTGCTACTATGCACATGAAAGACTTTAAATATGGAATGCAATAACTGTTCTTTGTGAATGGGGATGTCTGTCTCAGGCGTAAAGTATTCCCTACTGTATTTTCCTTTAATTGAGATTATGCAAGTCAACTTGCTGCTTTCTTTCCCAAAACATTAAACTTGTTTAAGGATAATGAGTACAAAATCATGAGCAGTCATACAATGTAAGATTAAAATTAAATTTTGTGAATTTACTAAAACTTATAATGTTCATCCATGGTGATATATGATTAAATGCTTTAGGGGAAAGCAATAAAAGAAAAAAAAACAGTATGGGCATCTTCTTTTAATCTTTGCTTTAATAAAAACATGTTCATTTAAATTGTTAAGATATCCCAAATGCACAATTTCAAAGGAGTTATTTTTAATAATTAAAACTTTAGTACAAGTCATACCTTGGCACAATTCTGTGCTATCTCTTGCAAATCATGTAACATCTATTGCTTGATACACTTGATTTGGTAAGATAATAAAACCATAATAATATATCTCTAGTAAAAAGGTAACAAATTAAATTTGGAGTAGAAAAATAAGAGATCATTCAGGGAATAAGCTAACATAACCATTACTATGCAATTGTCTGTTATTTTAAAAGTTAGATGCCATTTTCCATTTTCGCTTTTTTTTTGTCTTCCACAGTGTTCTGTAGTTTCAAAGGGGGATAAGTCCATTATCATTTCACAGAATATACTTTTACAACAAGTGTTAGCTGTTTTTGTCGAGCCTTCAACTTTTGTCGAAAAAGCGAGACATAGCGATCCTACATTCCGTCGGTGTCGTCGGCGGCGGCGTCCACAAATATTCACTCTGTGGTTAAAAGTTTTTGAAATTTTAATAACTTTCTTAAACTATCCTGGAATTCTACCAAACTTGGACAGAAGCTTGTTTATGATCATAAGATAGTATCCAGAAGTAAATTTTGTAAAAAAAAAATCCATTTTTTCCGTATTTTACTTATAAATGGACTTAGTTTTTCTGCCAGGAAACATTACATTCACTCTGTGGTTAAAGTTTTTAAAATTTTAACAACTTTCTTAAACTGTCCTGGATTTGTACCAAACTTGGACAGAAGCTTGTTTATGATCATAAGATAGTATTCAGAAGTAAATTTTGTAAAAAAAATCCAGTTTATTCGTATTTAACTTATAAATGGACTTAGTTTTTCTGCCAGTTTACATTACATTCACTCTGTGGTTAAATTTCTTTTAAATTTTAACAACTTTCTTAAACTATCCTGGATTTGTACCAAACTTGGACAGAAGCTTGTTTATGATTAAAAGCTAGTATCTAGAAGGAAATTTTGATAAAATTTTGTTCCATTTTTTCCGTATTTTACTTATAAATGGACTTAGTTTTTCTTCCAGTTAACATTACATACAGTTTGCAGTTTAAGTTTTTAAAACATTTATTAGATTCATAAACTTGGACAAAAGCTACTTACAATCAAAAGATAGTATAGAGAGGAATATTTTTATTAATTTTTTTCCTCATTTTTGTTGAGCCTGCGATTAACAGCAAAAGTAGGCGAGACACTGGGTTCCGCGGAACCGTTACAAATTTTTCTATGCCAGTTAGCGTCTTTTAAAGACTGAATGAGTGAAAACTCAGACCTAGAAATATACGACTGCCAAAAAAGGCAATGTAGTGAAATGGGATGATTTTTTTTGTGTACCAATATCACATCTGTTGATTTTAGGAATCTCAGTAACAATGCTATCCAGTATGTTCAGAGAGGAGCTTTCAACCAGATGCAAAACCTGAAAATTTTGTAAGTTTTACAAAGATTAGAATTAACAGTGCATATACAAGACGTTAAATTACTGATTTATCAATTATAAATATGACAGCACACCAAAATTTTCTATTGATTTATAGAAATATGTGATATGAGAAGATTTTGATACTTTTAAATAAACATATTGTTATTGTGCACTGGGAGATACTTCAATTTTTCACTATTGGCCCATTTGAGAAATATTGGATACATCTTGAAAAAGCTACAGATCTTGTCATTGATATTTTAATGTGTGGCCTAAGCCTTACCCAAACAGATATTTACTAAATTTTGAATAAAAAATTGTGTAAATATCTTTTTGAGTTAGAACTTGGCGAATGTCAAATTTAGCCCAAAACTATGTGTTAAATGTCCTTTTGGAAGTCAAATAAGTCAATTTCAACATATTTATGATGTCATAGTGACATCAAAACTGACATTTCTACACTAAAGTGTATTGTCCTATTCAATCATCATCAATAGGAATAATATAATTATACCCTGGTTCCAAAGGAAGAATATACTGCATTACCCCTGTCCGCCTGTTGCATTATTTGTGGGTAACACATTTTGGTCACAATTTTCTCAACGACTTTTAGTCATAGCTTCTTGATTTATTGCCCCAAGCTTTATCTAGTTATGTGATAATGTATGAAATGTTTTCAGTTTCTTCAATGTTATACTTCATGTTGGTCTAAACATATCTTTCAAATGTCATATATATTTTTAGCTCACCTTTCCAAAGGAAATGTGAGCTTTTGCCATCACTTGATGTCCGTCGTCGTAGTCGTCTGTCGTTGTCCTCATTGTCCGTCCTGTGTAAACTATTTCAAACATCTTCTCCTCTGAAACCACTGAACCAATTCTAACCAAACTTAAGCTGAATGATCCTTAGGGTATCTAGAATAAAATTTGTGTTTTATTTTCTGTTTCGTAAAAAAAAATGGTCGCCATGGCTAAAAATAGAACATAGGGGTAAAATGCTGTTTTTGGCTTATATCTCAAAAACTAAAGCATTTAGAGCAAATCTGACATAGGGTAAAATTGTTCATCAGGTCAAGTTCTATCAGATGAATCTAACAACCCATTGTTGGGTTGCTGCCACTAAACTGGTAATTTTAAGGAAATTTTGCAGTTTTTGATTATTATCTTGAATATTATTATAGATAAAGATAAACTGTAAACAGCAAAAATGTTCAGCAAAGTAAAATCTACAAATAAGTTTTATATTAATAAAATTGTCAATTGACCCCTTAAGGAGTAATTGCCCTTTAAAGACAAATTTTCACAATTTGTTCATCTAGTTTGCTTACTTTAAAAAATCTTCTCCTTTGAAACTGCAGAATCAATTTCAGCCAAACTTGGGCTGAATGAGTTTCAGAGTATCTAGTTTAAATTTTGTATTTTATTTCCTTGTACGTCAAGAAACATAGCCACTATGGCTAAAATGGAACATAGGGGTAAAATGCATTTTTTGGCTTTTGAAGAAAATATGACAGATACAGAGAACATTTAAATGGCATTATAAAGCCACTTGTTAATATATATTGAAAAGTAAAAATAATCATTGATGAAAGATTTAAGCAAAAAATTACAGGTGAGCGATTCAGGCTCTTGAAAGCCTCTTGTTGAAATTTTTGTCCCTTTTTTCTCAACAATTTATTTCAAGTCATAGCTTATATATGACACCCATCTTCTTCTTGGTATGCCATAATGTGTGACAAGCTTTCAGTTCCTTCCATGTTCTACTTAATTCATATATGCCGAAATCTTATATCTTGTACATGCTGGGGTAAAACTAGTGTTTTAAAAGAATTGAAGAATATCACCATTTCTGCATTTTTAGAATCCTGATAATGACTGTTCACATTTTCTCCTCTTATTTTGTTTATTGTAATTCTGGTTTTAAGTCAAGATTTATAATTTCATACAGTTACAACATCTACATTATGCTTGCATGGAAGACAAGCATGAAAGTGATAATCCTTCAAACAGACTATATTATGTAAATATGAACAGTTAAGCTATAATTTTCAAATAATAATTTTAAAAGTACTCTATGTAAGAAGGTAATTGATGGAAATTGTCAACAGTAAAGACTTATTTTTTATATTAATTGTTTTTCAGAGAACTGCATGGTAACAGTATATCACAAATTCCAAAAGGTGTATTTGAAGATCTGAAAGAACTGATACATTTGTGAGTTACTATCTTTAGCAGTCACATCTGAAACAAATGTTTATGTAAATTTTGTCAAATATTTTGTCAAATAGTATTTAACTTTCATCATACAAGTATCCAAAAATGTTTAGAAGACTATATTAACAGAAGCTGTGTTAGTGGCATTCAGAAGTAAATAAGGAGTGATATGCCTCAAATTTCAGAAGAATAAAGTTATGTCCCTTAATGACAATTGTATGAATATGGCCTTTATTATGTTATGTAGTGTGAAGTTTTTCTTTGAATTGTTTGTGCATAAAAACCACAATAAATTTTATGATTATATACTAGAATATTTTTAAAAAGGTAAGGAAAGTTTCTATAAGATTTTGCCGACGAAATGTTATGACATTTAAAAATGTATTTTTAGGGACCTTCATCACAACAAATTGGAAAAGCTGACCTCTGAATCTTTTATTGACCTTGAAAAGTTGATTGAGTTCAGACTCCACAGTCAGAGTCCAGTGATGACCACCATTATGTTTGATTCTATGATCAACATTGGTAAAGCTTTGAAATATCTGTAAGTATTTAAAAAAGCTGAGTCGTAGCATTATTATAAAAGATTGACTAGAAATATTCTTAGTCTAGTCATTATAAAAGTAAGATGTGGTAAGATTGCAAATTAGAGAGGCTTCTTTAGACCAGAGTCTGAAATATGAAAATCTACAGTGATGATTTTCCACAGTGAACCTGGAAAGACTCATGACATATTGCATACTTTAAAAAAGGCAGATATGTCTACTGGTCATCATTTGGGCCTTGCTGGCCGAGTGGTCTAAGTAGTTCAGCTTCTGTATCACTAGCCTGTCAACACTGAGGTTGTGGGTTAAAACCCTGCATATTGTAGGTGTGTTTTGACTCAAATCTTAATTGACTAGGATTGCCCATCTTCCTGTTGAAGGTCAATGTTTTCTCTGGACGCTCCAGCTTCCTCCGCCAATAAAAGCTGGCCCCAACAATATAGCCAATAGGGCTGAAAGTGGCCTTAAACACCAACAATCAATCATCATCAAAACAATAGAGAGTTTTAAATACTTTGTGAATTTTGAAATCTTCTAAAGTATGTTTTTTAATTGATTTTAGATATTCTTATATGTCTATATACTTTTCTGGGTTGTTGGGTTGCTTTCTCATTGACATATACCCCAACTCTTTTAATTTGCATTCTTTTTTTCAGACTTTTTTCTCAGTTTCTTGATAATTTCAAGTAAAAGAAATTCATTTTAGAAGATTTATTTGTCAACAATGAAAACTTATTTGTTAAAGATGAAATCACTTGTATGAATTTGTTTTAAGTATATGTCATTAATGAATATTACAGATTTATAAGTCAAAATGGATTAACGCATTTACCACATCAAGTTTTTATGGAAGCAAACTTTACAGAACTCATAGAACTGTAAGTTTTTGTTTATACGTTGAGAATCGATTAGAAAATTTTGGAAGTTTATAAACTTAAAAAAAATCTTTCATATTATTGACAAAGTTTGACTGGAATTTTTCAAAATTGCTAGTTATTGTGTTGCAAGACAGCAAAAGTAGAGGAACTCATATAGGTAATCTATCATCTTGTGTCTTCCTATCCGTGTCACAATTTGTTTATTCAAAATTCCTTAGAAAATTCTTAACCGAATTCAATCAAATATGCACAGAGTTTCCTCGATATGACATGAAGATGTGCACATGCTATTTTGGTATTTGATTGTATTATATTTGGGGATGAAAATACCAAACCATGTCATTATTTCCTATATAAATAATTGTTGATGGCAGGAGACACACTTTTTCCTTGGAAAGATTTTTTATACATGTACAATAGAATATCATATTTTCATTATTTTACAGATATGCAGACAATAATTTGATTAAAAATGTAACAGAGCTGGGGGAAAGTGGTTATGGTATCAAACTAAGATCAACTTATCTTCGAAAGAAAAAACTACTTGTAGCCTTTTCCACCACTCCTAATATTGTGAAATTGTAAGTTTTTAGATAATGAACGTTATTGCATTTATGTGTTATTTTTATGAAATATCAGTCATTTATTTAACCATGCTGACTTTTTGGAAGTGTTACAAAGGCAATTATTTAAAAAAAAACATAATTTGAAAGGTAGGGCAAACAGGAACAGATGAACTTGAAAAGTTTCATTTTACTATAATTGAAAATGTTGTTTGGAAATTACCTTAGAATTCCTATCCAGCAATGTTCAGGGTAGAAAAAAAGACATTGGTAGATTTTTTTTTCACGATAATAGAAAATGTAAACATTAATGCTTATTTGACATATAGCATGTATAGATTTAGAAGCAACTTGAAAAATTGAAGCTTTATTTAAACATTTATATCAAAACAGTTTGACCTTTAAAGTTACAAATATAGATTTAAGTTAAACTAAATGAATTTATTTCTACCTATTTCATATGTAATCCTATGAAATATAATTAAAAAATATTTTCCTTACAGGTTTTTACAAAGCAATTTGATAGCAATTATAAACGATACAGATTTCTGTGAACTACAGGTTTTACAGTTGTTGAATTTGAGAGGAAATCGACTTAATGAGACACATATTCAGGAGGATGGATTCAAATGTTTACCTGTATTGAATTATCTGTAAGTTGTTTTCATTTTTTAGACTAGCATTAGAAAGGTATAGATATTCAAAAATTCCATTCATTATACTAAAAGATATGGACTATAGTACAGAAGAAAGAAGGTGTTAACCATATTGAGATGAAAAAAATCCCAAATTACAGAAGACAATACACAAAAGAAACAAGTCAGAAGCATTCATCATGTTTATTTCGAAAGGTTTTTAAAATCAGTCATATACAAACAGGGAACACAGATAACTAGGAATACTGACAATGCAAATTTCTGTTAAAACAGAATGTGATGTAAGGTGATAAAAAAAATGATACAAATTAGGAATACAAAAGTTTTACAAAAAATACTACTCATACTTTTGTCACTGTTGGATGCCATAGTTTTGTATAAACTCTTTAAATGTGAAATTTGTTTTCATTTTCTGAACACTCTTTGCTCTTTTTAAAATATGTATGTTAAATCTGAATTCACTAAATTTTAGGACATACATGTACATGGGCCTTACTGTTCAAACTCTTTAAGTACAAATCAGAATATGTGATTTGACCATGGGGGATAACTTCAATTAGCAAAATCTTGGTCAAGAAGGGGAGATAATCAATCTGCATATTATTGCATTTCATCCAGTTAGTCCCCATTTGGGAAAGCTGAATTGAACTTTAGGTTTGCACTCTGTATGTATGGGTATCAGTGCACCCAACTGTCAGTATGTCTGTCCATTTTGTTTCCGACACTTTTTTGTAGCCTGAATCAAATAAATACAAGTTTTAGTTTGGTTCCGCTTTGCAATCAATTGAATAGATATTTTTGATATATGGTCATATCATAAAAATTTACAGTACTGTTTGAGTTTTAGCTGTGTTTTTGTTGTGCATTAAAGAGGCACTAGCTGTCAAATTCATGTTCACCGATTTGACTCAAATTCTCATATTTGTTATAAAACAATGTAAAATATTTATCCAAATTATAAAAAATCTAAATAAACAATTTACAGGGCTTAGGGTCGATAATATGTAGCTTCGTTTTTTTGTGTATTTTAGTCTAGACGCCATCTAATTAACTGTCGAGTTAACCTCCCGAAAACCACCGATGCCCATATAAGGGATATAAACATAAATAAAGATATAAATAGATAGCGCAACTCGTGCAATTGGATTCTTCTAGGTCTATTTAATTTCATTTATAGATTAAAAATATATGTTAATCATCATTTTTACCTGTATAAGAATGATTTTTTTTGAGGATCGAATCAGTCAATTAAATGAATTACCTTTGTTTACTTTCAATGTTGACTTTCTTTTCCTTTAAATAATCAAACATGAACGCAATTCATGCGTTATCCAAATCTATCTAAGGGGTTAAATTGAAGTTCACATGAATACGGAATCAGTGAGGTCGAATTATTCACTTGCAAGTGAATAATTCATCATCAATATTCATTTGCTTATTTTGACAAAATTAGCCAATACTGGCTGCTAAAAGCGAATTATTATTTTACTATTCCACTTTCATTAATGATTGAACAAAAAAAATCATATTATATATTTTTTTTATATCTCGTAGCTAGTGCCCCTTTAATAGCAGCAGTTTTGGTGCTTGGACATAGAAAATTGCTTTAATTATAAGGTTTTTAATAAATAAAAACTGTGATGGTTCAAGGGCGGAGTTGGTCCTGCAATTGTTGACAACATTCACATCTTTAAATTTATTTTTTGACACAATTCATGATAAAATGGAATTTAAAAATTACATCAGTAACAACTTAATGTTTTTGTCACATATAAGTGTTACCGTTACAGCAAGTAGAGGGCATTGTCTTGCATATGCAAATATCCTGAGAATGCTTGTTTTTCTCTTTATTGTTTAAAAATTTCAGTGTCAATCTTACTGAAAAGTAAAAAACTCTGTTCAACACTACTGGTATATGCATACAACTGATCACTTTTATGTAGGGATGAAGCATTCCATATTTAATATTTTTATATGTTAACAGTTGTATGAAATTAGTTTGCAAATATGGTTGCGAGATGTTATTTCTATTTTAAAGCACATATATAGGTATCAATTTTTAAACCTCCAAAGGGGCAGATCTCCCCCCAACAAAAATATTTTGGGGTTGAAAATAATTGTAGCACCATTTTTTGTGCCATTTCATTGGATAGTTACTGTTATTTGCAGTAACAACGTAAGTTTTAGTTACATATTGTTTTTTGTTGTACGTTGAACAGCAGCTGATTTAGCAGCTTTTAACAGACTTGAAGACATTTTAGTCATAGCAAAGCACGTCTGTATTTTGTTTACAACATACAAATGAGCAAATTGTATCATTGCCAAGTTCTCTTCTAAATTCAGTTGATTTTTTTTTTTTAAATTGAAAGTATGCTTTCAACTTTTGCATTACTGACTTGTATCACAAGGCAAGATTTAGCTTTTTTTGACAAAATGGAAAATCTTTTGAATGAACCAAAGAATGTTAAACTCTGTCGTTTTGGGCCAAAATATATCATTGTTTTCATTCAAATTTAGTAGTTTTTCTAAAGAAGCCAGTTGATAAATATGAAAATCCTCCATCAAAGTATTCACCTGACTCTCCTATTATTATTATTCCTTTATGTCCTCCAGTCCTGAAACGTAATGCTATAAGATGTACTCATCTGAATGTGAACATTTGGTGAATGAAAATTCCCTACTAACTTACAATCTGGTAAACAACGGAATGAGTGGCTGTCTATTTCTGACCAGCAGGAGATTTAAACTCACACACAGAGACAAGAGATTTTCATAAAGTTTGGGAAAATATTGGTAGGTTCCCCTAGAGATCAGGAGAAACCTATGAAAGCATGTACTACCTTGGGTCATTTTACAGGTAAAAGAAATTTATGATTTTCATAACCAAGCCTTACAGAATTATTTTTTAATTTTCCAGAGACCTTGGTAGCAACCATAACATGCAGTATGTACCAGTTGCTCTGACAACACACGAGAGATTACCTTCCATTCAGATGCTGTACTTAGATAGTAACATGATATCTGTCTTACCAACAGAGACATTTACTAATGTTTCTACACTTATCAGTTTGTAAGTTTTTAGACTCAGTACTTTAGAGCTTTCTCATTGTTGTCTATCCCATATTTGTTATTTATATATATGATGTGATTTATTTAATGTTAATCATGTCTTTAAATAATACAGATAGTTCAGTAATATATGTACTTTTAAAATTAATTTGGGAGAGATATGTTCATTGATACTTTATAGAAGTTATTAAAATCCAGCTAAAATTTCTAATTTTAACCATTTTGCATTTGTGTTTGATATACACCCCATTTGCATCCCCCAAAATCATGAAAAAACTTTAAGTTCACGTTAAAAAGCCTTTGATTGGGACCTTATAAACCATGTATTTATTCTTCAATTACGTCTACTGAAAGATAGAAATAAAATTTAAGTTTATTTGTAAAATTTTTGTAATATTATTTGTTTAAGAAATGAATTTATAGTCATAAACAATAAAATGGTAGAGCTTTTATCATGTAATTAACATTTATTTATTTTATAAAAGTAAAGTTAATAATTAGTGTTATCACTATTTTGTGTATTTTTCCTTTGATCTTTTTTTGTGATAATTTTTCAAATCATGCTACTCCCTTGAGATAGAAAATTATTCTCAGAAACTAAGGACGCACTAGCCATTGTCAATGTAAACATTACAGCTCTTCTTTAAAAGCATGCAAAGCAAACCTTTGATCAACTTGCTTGCTATGTTTGTTTGGATGTTTGTAAACAAAAGATAGGTAGTCTGTTTCAGTCTGTTTACTATATACTGGAATTTGATTGGACAATAAACAATAACTTCATTGCATGTCAATTTTTATTGTCTAATCAAATTCCAGTATATACAAAACAGACTGAAATTCCGCCTACCTATTGTTTGCAAACATCCAAGCAAACAAAGCAAGCAAGTTGATCAAAGGTTTGCTTTGCATGCTTTTATAGAAGAGCTGTAACAACGTCATAGGCAAAATAGCGATAAACAGATTATCAATCATCTTTTAATCTTGAGGAGGGTTCTGGGCCATATCTGTCTCCCTTCAATGAGATTGTAGCTGAGAAACACCCTCTCGGTTGAAAAAACATCTATAATCTATAAATCTCTTTTGATATCAATTTTTGTCTAAGCTTGTCCAAGATAATGCACTGTTATCATAAAAGAAATATTTTGAATGTTATGAAAGAAAAGAAAACCGGGATCAAATATTTATCTAATATGAGTGCATTATTTTTTAGTACAATGATCTTTATTTTTCTTGGCCAGTGTTTTATTTTTCTTATTGTAATTATCAAATGTTCAATACCCAAAAATAAACTTTCTAGATTCAGATTTAAAAACCATTTCAACATTTTTAATAAGTAAAATGATGAGTTTCGTTTTTTGTTCCTCAGATATCTGCACAGTAATCGGATCATAGCTGTTGAAAACAACACATTTCCTGAACAACTCAGAACACTGTAAGATTTGTACCATTCTGTTTTATATTAACCATGCTAAATATGATACTTTAGTTTGCTAGAAAACAATTTGTGATTGCCTTCTTTTGTTGCCAAACAGTTCCTTTTATCCGTGTGCAATTATATATTGCTCATGTTAGAAGTATACTTTTGTGCAACAATTATCCTACTTGTTAACTTTCCCTGATTAGAAGGGGACTTGCATTTATTATATCTCCCAAGACATGCTTCCATCAAAAAGAGGTCAAAATCTGCTTCATTGAACAAAATTTCAAACTTATGTCTTATTTACAAAATGGTTGTTTTTTTGGAAGTGTCAAATCGATGTCCAGTCTCAAATCTGTGTCCATTTATAAAATCCATGTCATATTTTATATCGCATCCTAGATCTCACAAATCTATATCCTTTCCTTTCTAAAATCTCTGTCCTTTTTCTCCAATGTTCAAACAATATTTTTGCACTTTTTAAAAAAAAAAATTATTTCATATCTTGAGCGGGATTCAAACCCAAGCTGTTTAGTCAAAAATGGTAAAAATATTTGCTTGCTTATAAAATTGGTTATATAGGAGAGTTCCAGAATATTTATTGGATGTTGAAAAAGTTGTATCACTTGACCCTTTTCTATGCATCCGCCTAGCATTTCACACAGGTATATAATGCAAATAAAAGGATTTAAATAGATTTCAACTTAAAAAATTCAACAACACTTTTCTATTATGACCCCTTAAATTCTCCATTGCCATGCTTGTCCGAATTTAAAGCATTTCTTTACTAAAACCCTAAGTATAAATCAAACAAAAATCAAAGTATACATTTGGTTGTTGGCAGTAACTTTTTTTTTTATAGCAAACAATGTTTAATGACATAATAATCCTATATATGATATAACAACAATATTCAAATTTTTCATACAACCATAATTTATACACAACACTTTTAAAGAAAGACTTTTATTATATAACACAATAACTCTAAACATCATTATCTAAATTAAACACCATAACATACATGTAACAATAAACATTTCTATAACTTAAAATGTTACATTATTGGCTTTCTTGGGGCTACTCATTCATTGAAAAAATTAACCTTTAAATTTTTTAAATACATAACAATGATGGGGAGATCCCTGCAGCAAACTTAACTGTTTGAAATGTCACCTAGGGCGATCCCGGCAGGTGTGAGCTACTTGACTAGAGAAATTAAACTTAACTGTATGAAATGTCACCTGGGGCGATCCCGGCAGGTGTGAAGTACTTGACTAGAGAAATTACCGACCTGGCAGGAATTAACCCATCTGATGTATTATTGAATTGGGGGAGTATAATTCCCCTTGAATTATATAGGCCAAATGAGTGAATTCACAATGATGAATGAGTGAAAGCCCCAAGAAATATATACCATATAAAAATATAAATTAGTTATAAGAAAACTATGACAAAGACTCAAAGATACATTTATCATGATCTTTGCAAATAAACTTCTTATAAGTCCTGATGTATTGTCTTAAGAATGACTTCGAAACTTTAGTTATAACCAAGGCATAACTGAGTTGTCCAAATAATGAATAAACGCATTGCATCAGAGTCACTTTAAAGAAAGGAGGAGAAAGTATACGGCCCCCATTCTAAAGTTAATTGTTACTTATACTAAGGCACCACTGGTTCAAACTGTTCTTTAATTGTTACATTCGATCCTGTTCTAAAAAAAAAATCAGTCTTGTGTTCTAAGTTTCACACCAAAAGCAAAAGTACTACACTGGTATCAACATCACTGATTACTAGGCACTTTAGATTACATCCCTAATTCAACACGTGAATGTTTCCAGTTCATCGAAGAGAACCAAAGAACGCTGTTAAAATGCACAGTGTTACGTACAGTATCTATGAAACGTGAGGAAAACTCCTGTTGATAACATGTTGTACAAACACTGTAATAAGGATGATGTAAATGTTGGCCTGTTCATAGAAGCCTACATGTAAGTTGTTTATCTTGCTCCATGCAAACAGAAGGTAATCGCTCGATCCCTGTTGTGGTGTAGTTATGACAAGCAAATAATGATATCAAAACCTAGCTATATATAATTGCAATTCTTTTCAATTCTTTCAGTGTGTTATAAAGTATATCAAATGGTTCTCAGTGATAGTAGGGAGACAGTTCATGGAACTCTATGCCCCTAATTCGAAATGATACAAACTTGTACATTTGATTAAATTTGTTGCGTTTAATGCTTAACGAAAGTTGCGTGACTGTCTTTCTAACACATTATACTATGATGGCAGGAATCAAGGTATTGATTTCCTTTATATTCCGGTGCTATACTTCTGAAAGCAGCATCCAAATACGATAGGTTATTAATATCTTTATCTGTATATATCTGTATTTTTTCTGTAAATAAAGAAAAAGAAAAAACGACCTGGGAAGTCCCAGTAGTCCTAAAATACTCCAGAGAGATGTAAGTGGAGATCCCAGCGGAGTTAAATATAATACATTAATACGTAATTATTAAGATAATAAACAACCTGTGGCGATCCAGCAGGTGTATTGCAATATATATAAAGAGAATGAATGACCTGGGGCGATCCCGCAGGTGTAGTACAATATATATAAAGTGAATGAATGACCTGTGACGATCCAGCAGGTGTGCAATATATATAAAGAGAATGAATGACCTGTGGCGATTCAGCAGGTGTAGTACAATATATAAAGTGAATGAATGACCTGTGGCGATCCAGCAGGTGTAGTGCAATATATATAAAGAGAATGAATGACCTGTGGCGATCCAGCAGGTGTAGTGCAATATATATAAAGAGACTGAACGACCTGTGGCGATCCAGCAGGTGTAGTGCAATACATATAAAGTGAATGAATGACCTGTGGCGATCCAGCAGGTGTAGTACAATATATATAAAGTGAATGAATGACCTGTGGCGACCCAGCAGGTGTAGTGCAATATATATTAAGTGAATGAATGACATGTGGCTATCCAGCAGGTGTAGTACAATATAAATAAATGAATGAACGACCTGTGGCAATCCAGCAGGTGTAGTGCAATATATATATAAAGTGAATGAATAACCTGTGGCGATCCAGCAGGTGTAGTGCAATATATATAACGTAAATGAATGACCTGTGGCGATCCAGCAGGTGTAGTGCAATATATATAAAGAGAATGAATGACCTGTGTCGATCCAGCAGGTGTAGTGCAATATATATAAAGAGACTGAATGACCTGTGGCGACCCAGCAGGTGTAGTGCAATATATATTAAGTGAATGAATGACATGTGGCAATCCAGCAGGTGTAGTACAATATAAATAAATGAATGAACGACCTGTGGTGATCCAGCAGGTGTAGTGCAATATATATATAAAGTGAATGAATGACCTGTACCGATCCAGCAGGTGTAGTACAATATATATAAAGTGAATGAATGACCTGTGGCGATCCAGCAGGTGTAGTACAATATAAAAAAATGAATGAATGACCTGTGGCGATCCAGCAGGTGTAGTGCAATATATATAAAGAGAATAAATGACCTGTGACGATCCAGCAGGTGTAGTGCAATATATATAAAGAGACTGAATGACCTGTGGCGATCCAGCAGGTGTAGTTCAATATATATAAAGTGAATGAATGACCTGTGGCTATCCAGCAGGTTTGGTACAATATATATAAAGTGAATGAATGACCTGTGGCGATCCAGCAGGTGTAGTGCAATATATATAAAATGAATGAATGACCTGTTGCGATCCAGTAGGTGTAGTGCAAAATACATGTATATAAAGTGAATAAATGACCTGTGGCTATCCAGCAGGTGTAGTGCAATATATATAAAGAGAATGAATGACCTGTGACGATCCAGCAGGTGTAGTGCAATATATATATAAAGTGAATGAATGACCTGTGCCGATCCAGCAGGTGTAGTACAATATATATAAAGTGAATGAATGACCTGTGGCGATCAAGCAGGTGTAGTACAATATAAAAAAATGAATGAATGACCTGTGGCGATCCAGCAGGTGTAGTGCAATATATATAAAGAGAATGAATGACCTGTGAAGATCCAGCAGGTGTAGTGCAATATATATAAAGAGACTGAATGACCTGTGGCGATCCAGCAGGTGTAGTTCAATATATATATAAACTGAATGAATGACCTGTGGCTATCCAGCAGGTTTGGTACAATATATATAAAGTGAATGAATGACCTGTGGCAATCCAGCAGGTGTAGTGCAATATATATAAAATGAATGAATGACCTGTTGGGATCCAGTAGGTGTAGTGCAAAATACATGTATATAAAGTGAAAAAATGACCTGTGGCGATCCAGCAGGTGTAGTGCAATATATATAAAGAGAATGAATGATTGACCTGTGGCGATCCAGCAGGTGTAGTGCAATATATATAAAGAGAATGAATGACCTGTGGCGATCCAGCAGGTGTAGTGCAATATATATAAAGAGAATGAATGACCTGAAATATAATACAATTTATTACTTTACTGTATGAAATGTCCACCTGGGGAGATGCCAGCAGGTGTGGAGCAATCTAGAATAGAGATATAAACATTATAAATACTGTGTGCTACTATGTGCTGAAATATAATACTTATAAATACATATTGATGGATTATACTCTATGAAATGTTCACCTGGAGTGATCCCAGCAGGTGTAGAGCAATCTAGAATAGAGATATAAATACTGTGTGCTACTATGTGCTGAAATATAATACATATAAATACATATTTATTACTTATACTGTACAAAATATCCACCTGGGGAGATCCCGGAAAGTGTAGAGTAATCAAGAATAGAGATATAAATAATGTGTGCTACTGTGTGCTGAAATATATTACATATAATATATAGTATTACTTATACTATGTAACTGCTGTTAATACATAGATATAAGGAGATGTATGTTTTGTTTATTAATAAAATACATAAATATTAATTATACTTAACAAAGGCAAAATTTCCACCAATACAATATATTCAGTTGCATATATATCCTTAAGAAGTGCAGACATATATATGCATATCCTATACGTGTCCTCCAATCTCCATGCTGTTCTTCACTCCCTGCTGCAGTAGTATGGTAAACCCGAATGTGTAGTGTATGATCTAAGAGTGCCGTAGGTGCTGTTGGACTAGTATTGATCGTGCTTGGAAAGACTTGCGGAATTTATATATATAGTTGCAAGGACTAATCTTGAACTACTGATTTGACACCTGTTTACTGTTGATTACCGTATGACGACATCTTCTTCTTCTCCTGGTACGGAATTGACCTCATACTAATGTGATAATACTAACTCCGCTCGGTAAAGCAGGAGGCTTCTTCATTGAATAAAGTAAATAGATGTTCTTTAATTAAATATAGTCATTGGGTTGCTGCTGTAATATTTTTGTTTCCACCAAAGGCAGTGGCTCTGCAGAATAACCGTAACAGATTCGTACATGTATGTATCCTCTTTTATCATGATCACTGACTTCCCGAGCCTGGGCAGTAGGAACATGCTTATTCAAAGACGGTGAAGCGTTGAAGAGCCGTAATTGAATAACTGCCTGTAGAGCTGGGAGTGTGATTGGTACTTATGTAGCAGGAGTACAAAAATGTAGTGTTTGGAATTGTTGACTGCCGCCGACAAAGTAGTTAAAACTGGCCAACCCAAAACTAGCAGGCTTATGTAATGATACTGTCATTTTGGAATATTGTTTGACAAACAGTTATTTATGTAACACTTCGATTCATTTGAACACATGGTTGTCAACTTCGTAAACCAACAATGAAATAAAGAACAAATGATCAAGTAAATATATTTATTCATAACAAAATATGGCATATCAACAATTTATCAAGTCACTGCAAGTACTTGACAATCTTCTGACGGTCTCCATGAAAAAATCCAGATATATTTTTTTCACGCTTGTCCCTGAAACACAGAAAAAATACATACATAAAGCACACCTGAGTATAACACGCAGGGACAATGACAGAAAAAAAAACCTTGCGGCTTATTTACCGGTTTTAACGGTACTCAATCAAATGAACAATATCCAATCACTATTTCAAAGAAACTTATATCCATGTCAATTAATTGTTAACATACGGATATTAAATAGATTTTCAAATATGGTTTGAAAACAGTAAATAATAGCTGATTAACATACATATGATACACATGTAGGTAAGTTTGTCAATCTGATAATGTTGTCATCAAAACACATACCCCCTCTAGTAGTAAACAATAATAGAATCTAAAAATAGATTGACAGAGGCTTCTAAACTCTAGATAGAAGATAAATTGTGTTGTGTATAAACTATAATTTAATAAATCAAATTTCCTGGTAGCTGGGGTGTCTAAATGCTCGTTGATAAATTTTTCTTCTGGGTCAATGTACTTTCAAATTTCACTATATTAAAACTGGGGGTGACAGACTTTGTTTTTTCGTTAAAATAAATTGTAATTAACGAAATCAAAGTTATTCTTTATGAGTAATGAAGGGGGTAGCTTAATTTTTCCTTATTGAGGAAACACTACTAAACTATTATGTATCGGTTAAAATTCAATGAGAGAATTGCTTTATATAAATACTTCCAAAATATCAAATAAAAATAGGGGTAGCGGGCATAAAACAAGGTAAGACCCACTGAATGAAAAAAATATTATTTCCCTGATGAAAACCTACCATTAGGTGACATAAGCTATAATTTGATGTTTTCATGCAGACAGCGTTGTATTGTTCCCATAACTGCATAGATTTCTGATGTTACTGCGTGACTTTTGTGTGTAAAATGAAATTGGTTATGGGAAAACAGACTTTCTTGTATTGGGTACATTTCCAGATTTGAGAAAAGAACACAGATTTGAGACTATAAATAGATTTGACTCTTACATATATATTGCTGCATATTATAAAGAAAAGTCTGTTGTTCTCATAACAAAAGTCTCTTTTTGTAATTCATTGACCGCTCCCGACATATGTGTAACTTCAAGGCATATTTTAGCGGCATCGATGTCTTTCAAAATGACTGCACTTTTCTTGTATCCCTGGTGCTTTCAACTAGAGAACCGTCGTACACAAGCATCGCACAAGTTGGCACCCCGAGGCGCGTGGGGAGCAAGAAGGTGAACTGTGGTTTATTTTTATCAATAGTACCGCTCAAGTCGATGCTAGGGGCCGTCTTGACCTTGTTGTAGGGTATGAATGATTCGTTCATTGTTGAAGTCCCTACATCAACTGTCAAGATGAAGAACAGGAATAAAGCCCTGTTCATTGATAATTTTCTATGTTTTCTATTTATTGTGTGCGATTTTGTCCCATGTACATAATTTACTCCATATCCTTTCATTTTCTATCTTTTATTTTAAATAATTGTTTTTTCTCAATGATAAGGAAAATACAAATAGTGATAATGAATAATTCCAGAATAAGGTTGTCCTGCAAATTTACCCCCAAAACAAATATTTTTGGTAGAGAAAAATAGTTAACTGGTATGAATAATGTTAATTTGGTTGTAAGAATATGTCCTGTAGTCTAGAACAGTACCAAGTGTGAGTAAAGCATAATGAAGTAATGTCTTGGTTTTCAGAATTTAAGTTTTCCTTGATAATGTTTTGCATTGGATGTATAGTTGGTATCAGATATCAGAAGAACCTCATTATTTATCATGCAAAATTGTAAATAAGAAGTTTTTTTAATTACAAAGCTCCTTCTTGTAGTTTTACAAAAAGAGGTTCTGAATTTGAAAACATGTGAACATCTAGTCTTTTTTAAGGAATTTGTTGGAGTCCACCTATAACTATACTGGCAAATGCATTATCAAAGAAAAGTTTTTATTCTGAAATACTCCTGTAGTCAAACAAAGAACATGTTTCATATTTAAAAAAAAGATGAATATGTAATTGAACCATTTGAAAAAATTTGGCTTGCCTGATTGATCTAACTGCTCTAAGACACTATGTTGACCCCAGTAATTTTTCATAACAAAAGTAAAAAAAGTCTATATTGAAGATAAGGTCATCTTATTGAGCCAAGTGTCATAGTTTTAGGCCCTTTACCATTTAAACAATCTTCCTTCTATTCAATAATTGATTTTCTGTATAGAGGACCTAAATTCACTCTTGGCTTTTAGTGGGTTTTTAAGTTGCTCAATGTTTAGTATAGTTAATTATGTTTTGTTTTATATTGCTAATCCCCACTTAGGGGCATTATGTTTTTTGGTCTGTGCGTCTGTCTTTTTGTCTGTTCGTCCATCCCTCCGTCCGTTCGTCTGTCCATTCGTCCATTTGTCCCGCTTCAGGTTAAAGTTTTTGGTTAAAGTTTTTGGTCAAGGTAGTTTTTGATGAAGTTGAAGTCCAATCAACTTGAAACTTAGTACACATGTTCCCTATGATATGATCTTTCTAATTTTAATGCCAAATTAAGGGTTTGACCCCAATTTCACGGTCCACTGAACATAGAAAATTATAGTGTGGGTGGGGCATCCGTGTACTATGGACACCTTCTTGTTTGTCTTGTTTAGACTTTTGTTGTCAGTCCTTTAACCTCTTCAGAATTTTGTTTGACTAAGTGTTTTTTTCTCATTCCTCTATCAAGTCATCTTGCATTTTGTATAATTACTGTGTCTTGATCAAACCAAGGACTTGAAAATTGGTTTTTTGCTGCTTCTCCACCAAGCATGCAATTTATTTTACAAAGTGAAAACATTGAATGGTTGGCTTGATGTCAGAATAATGTGCCCAGGTATTGTGACATTTTCCTAGGACCTTGGGAACTACCAAGTTAAAGATTAAGCTAATTTTGTCTGTCTGGTACAAAGAAAGGTTTTTATTCATATTTCACTAGCCTGTTCTCGTCCTGATATTTATGTAATATTTCCCACTGGACATTTAATACCAATTCACCATCATCATGATGTTAGCATGAAATGAATCATCTTGCTACAACCAAATTAATATGTAAAAGAAATGATTGACATCTTTCCAGGTTCCCAAAACGATTCCTTGTAAAAATATAAAAAATATATTACCCTTTAGTTTATGATTTAGAAGCTGCTAGAGACCTTATACTTTGAACTAAGCATGTACATCTACAATATATCTATTTCCAAAGCATGTGTTTTCAATAATGCATATTTATGTAGAATGGCTAGTGTATGTATATGTATATTCAGAAGGTGTTATTTTTGTTCTAATATGGCACAAAATTTTATATTTCTCATCTAACTTTTTGCTTTTTAAAATTAAAGCCAAATCAACAAAAATGACACCTCTACATGAATGTTTTGGTTGCAGCACACTTTGAAGGTAATGTGCTTCAATAATTTGTATAATATTTGATGATGTGACTTTTTTAGGTACCTTTATAATAATAGAATTGTAGCTGTAGAAGATGGTGCATTCCCTTATCAAGTAAATACAATGTAAGAAGACGAGAGATAAATATATCTCTTTTGATGGTAGCCAAAAAGAATTATAACTTTATTTTAAAGTTTGTCTGATGATTATTGCTTAGCTAACTGATCCATTAGTTATAATCTGAGCTGCACATTAAGGATCAGAAATGGAAGGACACCTTGAATCTCAAAATTAGTAACTAGTAACAATACACCAATAAAAGTAAAGTCTTATAAAGCCTACAAAATATCTTTTTAGACCAATCTGTTGGCATATCATTTTTGAAATGAACACTACAATTTAAAAGATTGTGAATGTTCTAGTTTTTAATTATTTAGAAGTTTGTTCATGGCTTATTTTTAGATAACAACTATATAACTGATAACAGTAACATGTGAAGAAATCTGTAGGCCATGAAATGTCACGAGCAATCATGCTACAGCAAATCATTAATAAAATATTTTTAATTTTGATATATATATATATTAAGTCATTGAAAAACAGTTATGATATGGTTGAATTATGAATAACAGCATTTCATAATTTCTAAACAATGTACATATATACACAGAGAAGGAAGATTGACAGTGGACGATTTTGCACATAGTGTTACAAGCACATCCTCACTTGTTTGCTTTTAAAATGGATTGGACTTTTTATTGCAAAATAATACATTATTTGGCAAACTAACTTTTACTCCAGCATAGTCCAAGATAAAAACGTTGTGTGTTGAGGATGCTAAACTGGCTGTTAAGCTCTAATTTTATCTCCTAAAATGAAGGGAGCCAAAAATGTTTATAAAAATATTTCATACAATCTTTAATTCATTTAGCTGCTAAATCCCTCATTAGAAAAAGAATTTACCTTACAGCTGCTTTCAATGATGACAATCTGTTCTTTCACAGCTTCTAAATGAAAAAAAATGGTGAACTTGGATACCAAATTGTTTAAAACCAGAAACTAGAAATAGACTTTGACATAGCATAACTTTTTCAATATTGTAATGTCATTAAAAAAACAATTTAACTTGCTTTCCCCAAACACTCATCTTTTCCCCTTGAAACACCACTCTTAATTCAATCTGTGTCTGTTCTTAAGGCATGCAGAAGGCATAGATTTCTTATTTTCAAACGATTATCATCGAAACCATATGAATACATTGTCACCACAGGACTTGCAGCTAAAAGTTTTTTTTATTAATTTGTTAATGACAATACTTATTTATGAAAAGTGTATCCATACAATTTGTATTGCTTGCAATGATTTATTATAAAAAGATTTTAATTTAAATCATATTAAATAAGTAATATTTCTCGAAATATAAAGGTACTATATGAATGTGTACAAAATAGAACAACCTTAATTTGCTTGTTTCTTAGATGGGCTATGATGTCAATGCATGTATATCTGTTTCAGTTCTGAAAAATAGAGTAACAACTGTTATCATCAAATTATGGAACCTGTAACAAAGAGATGACTGGAAAATCTGGTTGACCACGAGTTTGTTTCTATGTTTACAAAAAGTAATGGTTATATAATAATCAAGCAAATTAAATTTTATGCATTAAGAACACGTTCAAATGGATGAGCTGTATCTGTAAAATGATTTTTTTCATGATATTATAATCAAAGCAATGAAAATAGTTATTTTTGTTTTTGATTCACAGAAATATGCAGAACAATGATTTTAGATTCATACATGAGCATCAGTTCTCATACTTGTCTGAACTGAGCCAATTGATTTTAAGCAACAATGCCATAGACTACATTCCAGATGATGCCTTTATCAATGCTACAAGCCTAACATATCTGTAAGTTTATTTATCAAACAAAATTATCTTTTATATAGCCACAGTTTATCATGGTTATCACATATCCTATGATGATTTTGTACAAAAATGGATATGGCAAATTTTATGTAATGACATTTGTACAATTTCAGTACCTTAGCTTTTTAGCTCACCTGGCCAGAAGGGCCAAGTGAGCTATTCTCATCACTTGGCGTCCGTTGTCGTCGTCGTTAACTTTTTACATTTTGAACTTCTTCTAGAGAACCACTGAATGGAATGAAACCAAACATGGCATGAATGTTCCTTATGAGGTGCTGACCAAGTGTTGTTACTTTGTAGCCGATCCATCATCCAAGATGGCCGCCAGCAGGGGACTTAGTTTAACATAGCACCCTATAAGAAATGCATACAAATGACTTCTTTTAGAGAACCACTGAATGGAATGAAACCAAACATGGCATGAATGTACCTTATGAGGTGCTGACCATGTGTTGTTACTTTGTAGCCGATCCATCATCCAAGATGACCGCCAGCGGGGAACTTAGTTTAACATAGGACCCTATGGGAAAAACATACAAATGTCTTCTTCTAGAGAACCACTGAATGGAATGAAACCAAACATGGCATGAATGTTCCTTATGAGGTGCTGACCAAGTGTTGTTACTTTGTAGCCGATCCATCATCCAAGATGGCCGCCAGCAAGGGACTTAGTTTAACATAGCACCCTATGGGAAATGCATACAAATGACTTCTTTTAGAGAACCACTGAATGGAATGAAACCAAACATGGCATGAATGTTCCTTATGAGGTGCTGACCATGTGTTGTTACTTTGTAGCCGATCCATCATCCAAGATGACCGCCAGCGGGGAACTTAGTTTAACATAGGACCCTATGGGAAAAACATACAAATGTCTTCTTTTAGAGAACCACTGAATGGAATGAAACCAAACATGGCATGAATGTTCCTTATGAGCTGCTGACCAAGTGTTGTTACTTTGTAGCCGATCCATCATCCAAGATGGCCGCCAGCGGGGGACTTAGTTTAACATAGGACCCTATGGGAAATACATAAAAATGTCTTCTTTTAGAGAACCAATAAATGGAATGGAACCAAACATGGCATGAATGTTCCTTATGAGATGCTGACCAAGTGTTGTTACTTTGCAGTCGGTCCATCATCCAAGATGGCCGCCAGCGGGAGACTTAGTTTAACATAGGACCCTATGGGAAATACATACAAATCTGTTGTCTGTTCTATGGTCGGGTTGTTGTCTCTTTGACACATTCCCCATTTCCATTCTCAATTTTAAATGTCTTCTTTCAGAGAACCACTGAATGGAATGAAACCAAACATGGCATGAATGTTCGTTATGAGGTGCTGACCAAGTGTTGTTACTTTGCAGTCGGTCCATCATCCAAGATGGCCAACAGCGGGGGACTTAGTTTAACATAGGACCCTATGGGAAATACATACAAATGTCTTCTTTTAGAAAACCACTTAATAGAATGGAACCAAACATGGCATGAATGTTCCTTATGAGGTGCTGACCAAGTGTTGTTACTTTGCAGCCGATCCATCATCCAAGATGGCCGCTAGAGGGGGGGGGGGGGTGCTTAGTTTAACATAGGACCCTATGGGAAATACATACAAATGTCTTCTTTTAGAGTACCACTGAATGGAATGAAACCAAATATGGCATGAATGTCCTTATGAGGTGCTGACCAAGTGTTGCTACTTTGTTGCCGATTTACTGTTTAAGATGGCCACCAGGATATTTTATTAAATAACGGGACCAATATTAATCCAAATTTGGCCTCAATCATTTATGGGTATCTGTTATGATTTTTATCTATCTTTACATGATTTCTAAAACCAAAGTAGAGTCAGGTGAGCGACACAGGCTCTGGAGAGCCTCTAGTTTGATTTTTTTAGCACTCATCTATTACATCAGGTTAGTTTAGTCTCACTTAAGGTGTTGTGTTGCATACCACTGAAAATTGACCTTGAATTCAAGGTCATTTTTTTAAGTTTCATGATCTTCTTTAAGCTTTTTATATTTGGCTTGTTGGTACGTAACCTGAAGCTGTGTGTGTTGTGTTCTTGATGACATGACCTTTGATCTCAAGGTCAACTTTTTGATATTTAATCATTCAGTTGATTTGCAGTGATATAATTGCCCTATGCTAACACAGAGTATAAACCCACATCATTGACAGGTAGATGGGTCAATTTGCACAAAGCTGAAACCTTTTCACATATATGGTTAAATTTTTCTGGATACCATATGAGATTGAATTTTCTGCATTTTAGTAAACCCTGAAACACTCTTGGAAAATGGCTTGTCTAGTGAAAAATTCCAAAGTAACACAAATGGTTATAAGCTCAGTCAATTATTTAAAAAAAACAACATGCCCAAATTATCACGGCAGAGAGGAGATTTTAAGGATGTAAATGGCTTGTGGTCTGAAGTTTCTGAAAGGCATATATAAGTTGTTATTGATCTGATTGTCATGGATCAGTGACTAAATTAGTAAAGCGTTTCTGATTATTTTATCTTTTCAGTAGTAAGTCAAATATATTTAGTCTAAAACTAAGCATTGTAAGATGTACATGTGTCAATCTGACAGGGATCAACTGACGTTGTTCTCCTCTTATATTTGATGTGTTTCCCTCAGTTTTAGTTTGTAACCCGGATTTGTTTTTATCTCTATCGATTTATGAGTTTTCGAACAGCCGTATACTACTGTTGCCTTTAATTGACCACATTTTCATGATTCATAGAATAATGGTATTACTAAGTTTTCATCATAAAATCATTTTTCATTTACAGTAACTAATAAGTCAACTATATTTGCTCAATAGAATCATTGTAAGGTGAATATGTCTCCATTTATTTAGTTCACTGATCAACAAATAATGTAATGAAAAGATCGTTTTCTGAATTGCTTTAAAATATACGTTTAGTTGTTTATATTGTATTCTATGTTTACAATGACTCCTTGTAAGTCTTACCTTAATCTTTTAGACTTCAAACATCATTATTCTATCATACCTATTCATCCATCTGAATTAGTCATTCTGATGTAAAAGACATATTTATTAAATATGTGTTTTAGAATACCGGGTATTCATATTTCTTCTCAAACATTTAATTGCAGACATCTCTCAAGCAACAAAATAACACAGATTAAGAAAATACACTTTGTGAATTGCCCGTTGACATCTGGTATGTATCTGTCTAACAATGAGATTGGATGGATAGAAGATGGATCTTTAAATCATGTAACAACTTCTGGATCATTGTAAGTAGATGTTTAAAGTCTTATTTCATTGAACATCATGTCTTTCATTTATGATTCAATGAATGTTAATAAAATGTTTATATATTTCCAAGTAGAAATTAAACATTTGCCATGAAAACATAGTCTGTTTACAGTTAATAGTTTGTCTATAGCAGTCGTGATACTGATTCAGCTTTACTGGTGGAATTCAGCTAGACGTATAGCCTGTTATTTTCAGAAGGAATACAGTTTCTTTTGGATTAGCTTTTGTTAGAGCATTTCAGAAATTGGAATTTGATTCCATGTATGTCTTCAGATAAACGGATATGGTAAAGTTTGTGATACACTGTGCTTGAGTTTTAAGCCTTAATTGAATCAATAGGTTGTAGTTGACTTTCTAAGAAAAATTGCATGCATTGTGATTTATAAACCTTTGTTTGCATATTGTGTTTATATTTCAGCGATTTCTCCAACAACAGATTGTACAAGTTGCCAATGAATGGAACATTCCATGACTTGTCATTGTCAAGTTCCAATGGTTTAAACCTAGGAAACAACAGAATATCTGTCATACTACCAGACACATTTAAAGATATAAGCTGTTATGGACTGTAAGTTATTCAGTGTTGCATATTATTGATATAAATGGTTTGCAGACATCAATATGGTTATGTTAAGTCCTACTTACAAATTTTCTGCTCTTTATTGCTTAAGGTTTCATCTTTTGCCAAATTTTTGAAAACATTTTAAAAAGTAATTCTTAAATCTGAAATTGAAATTATAAGCCATTTTGTATTGCTGCTTGTACAAAAAGTACTTTAATTTTCTTACAGAAATCTGAAATGATGATAACTATTCCAAGTAGCTAAGATTCTAAATTTCTGAGGCACTGGTATCCAATGACGTTATGACTGTGTCAGACCTTCTTATTGTTATTGTTATTATGCTCACCAAGTATTTTCACCTCTTGCATATATTTTTGCCTTGTGCATTCCTGTTTAGATTCAGCTGAAGAGACACTTAAAATTCAGCAAATCTGACTACCCTATATTATACTACATTTATAATATCATTAAATATACAGAAAAATAGCTGTCCCCAAAATATCGTTTATTTGTTTCAGATATTTACAAAATAACAGAATCTCACGTATTGAATCTGGAGCCTTCCAAGATGTCACAGCAAGTCATTACTTCAATCTTGACAACAACAAAATTAGAGTTATAGAATCAAATGCCTTTAATACCGTGTCTGCTGGAGCTTCTTATTATTATGGTACATTTTCTTTTAATGGAAACCTGTTAGGAGAAATTCAGTCTTATGCATTCAATGGGACAACCTGTAATTATTTCAACATGCAGAATTTGAACCTTGGAGTCATACCATCTTATGCCTTTACAGACTTAACTTGCAGAAATGTTTACTTTCAGTCCAGCTCAATTACTGACATAAAAAAACATGCGTTTAACAACTTCCGAGTTAATGAGTACTTGTAAGTGTTATATAAATCTTATAGACAAATAAAGTTTGAATTGCAGTTGACTTGTGTAATAGCTTATTTCAGTTAAATTAAAATGAATTAAGGCACATTTCAGAACTTTACCAGGTTGACCCCTGTTTTACCCAAATTGACCAAATGATGTCATGATTACGCTGTGGCATCAGATATTTTCTCTTTTGATAGAAAATGTTGTGGAAAATCCATTATTTTCTGAAAGGGCATAAAGAAATGGGAATTTATGTTTTTCAATCTTTTTCCATATAATTTTCATCTGAAGGACATAAACATGTTTAAAGATTGAAAATAATTATGTTTTGATTTTTTAAACACTTCAATTTTGTGGTGTACCTCAACAGTTAATATTCAAGAAAAAATTTGATTGGAACAAAAAAATTCTCAGATTAATTATTCACAATCATGGTTTCATTTATATGCTATAAATGGTTTCTTTTTTTATGAAAAAGTTTAGCTGAATAGTAATAAATTATGAACATGTAAATATTTTAAAATCTGCTAATTGAATGAAGTTGTTTGTATTCAGATTTCAAAATTTCAATTTCAGCTATCTCCATAGTAATCAACTGACAACAATATCATCATCTATCTTTGGTGGAACATCCAATGTAGAATATCTGCAAATGTACAGCAATGGAATAACCAGTATTACATCTGATGGATTTCGTAATGTTGATGTGGATTATATTTACCTACAAAACAATGGACTGACCGTCTATCCCATAGCCTTGAATGACATTACTCCAATTCAAATGTAAGCACAACCAGAAAAAAGTACTAAACTCTACATTAATTTCACACCTGAAAATCTGCACGAGTAATTAGGATGGGGATTTATGTTAGTTCGGTCATCCAATTGACTGTCCACAGATTTTGACAGGCCTCACTCCTTTTGCAATTCCCCCAGTATTTTGGAGATAACTGTATTGTATTTGAAGCTTTGCGGACCTCCATCGGTAGTTTTACTGTCGCAAATTGAGTTTACCTGGAGACGCATAGCGGACACAGGTAAACGGATATTTGCGACAGTAAAACTACCGATGGACGTCCACAAAGCTTCAAATACAATACAGTTATCTCTATTCTAATGCAAAATTCATTAAACGAAAAATTCCCTGAAATGATGTTATTTCTTTGGCTCCTAAACTAGGTGACCTCATAGGTATGCTTCTGGCATCTAACGTCAACACCGGGCGTTTTCTGGCTTCTTGTCTGCTTCAGAATGTGTTAAAATTTGATAAAAAGAAGATTTTTAGGAGCAACATGTGAGTTGTTTTGTTTATTATTGAATAAATTACATGCACTACAAACCAGTAAAAGTCTGAAATGGCCTATTTCTGTACTCGACTGTACTGATTTTTACTCGACCAGTCTGAATTGGTCTGAAATTTACTTGATAATACTTGACTGTAGTCTGAACCATACTAAACAGTCTGAACTTGTACTCGACCCTTACTCGACCAGTACTTAACCATTTTATACGCGTCTGAACCATGCTCGACCTAGTCTGAACCATACTCGACCTAGTCTGAACCATACTCTACCAAGTCTTAACCAAACTAGACCTATTTTTTGTATCTATCTATTGTATTTCATCAATTTAGGAACTGTTTTTATACGCCCGTTTACGGGACGTATTATGGTATACCGTTGTCCGTCTGTCCGTCCATCTGTCTGTCGTCAACATGTCGGACATTAACTCAAAAATGCTTTAACCAATTTGCATAAAACTTTGGTGAATTGCTTATATCTATTGACGAGAGCTCCCTTTCGTTTTTTATAAAATTTAGATTTTACGTTTCTGAGTTATGGGGTTTTATTCATTAAAAAAAGGGGGATTTTCCAGTTTTCGGACAATAAGTCAAGAATGCTTTCACCAACTTGCAAGAAATTGTGGTAAATTGTTTATATCTATTGACATGAGCTCCCTTTCGATTTTTAAAATTTTTAGATTTTACGTTTCTGAGTTACAGGGTTTTATTCATAAACTAGAGGCTCTAAAGAGCCTGTGTCGCTCACCTTGGTCTATGTGCATATTAAACAATGGACACAGATGGATTCATGACAAAATTGTGTTTTGGTGATGGTGATGTGTTTGTAGATCTTACTTTACTGAACATTCTTGCTCCTTACTATTATCTCTATCTATAATGAACTTGGCCCAGTAGTTACAGTGGAAAATATTTTGTAAAAATTTACAAAAATTTACAAAATTTATGAAAATTGTAAAAAATTGACTTTAAAGGGCAATAACTCCTTAAGGGGTCAATTGACAATTTTGGTCATGTTGACTTATTTGTAGATCTAACTTTGCTGTACATTATTGCTGTTTACAGTTTATCTCTATCTATAATAATATTCAAGATAATAACCAAAAGCTGCAAAATTTTCTTAAAATTACCAATTCAGGGGCAGCAACCCAACAACATGTTGCCTGATTGGTCTGAAAATTTCAGGGCAGATAGATCTTGACCTAATGAACAATTTTATACCATCATATTTGCTCTAAATGCTTTGGTTTCAGAGATATGAGCCAAAAACTGCATTTTACCCTATGTATTATTTTTTTGCCATGTCGGCCATCTTGGTTTGCGGGCAGGGTCATCGGACACATTTTTTAAACTAGATACCCTAATGATGATTGTGGACAATTTTGGTTAAATTTGTCTTAGTAGTTTCAGAGGAGAAGATTTTTGTAAAAGATTACAAAAATTTACGAAAAATGGTTAAAAATTGACTATAAAGGGCAATAACTCCTTAAGGGGTCAACTGACCATTTTGGTCAAGTTGACTTATTTGTAGATCATACTTTGCTGAACATTATTGCTGGTTACAGTTTATCTTTATCTATAATAATATTCAAGATAATAACCAAAAACGGCAAAATTTCCTTAAAATTACCAATTCAGGGGCAGCAACCCAACAACGGGTTGTCTGATTCATCTGAAAATTTCAGGGCAGATACATCTTGACCTGATAAACAATTTTACCCCATGTCAGATTTGCTCTAAATGCTTTGGTTTCAGAGATATAAGCCAAAATCTACATTTTACCCCTATGTTCTATTTTTAGCCATGGCGGCCATCTTGGTTGGTTGGCGGGGTCATCGGACACATTTTTTAAACTAGATACCCCAATGATGATTGTGGCCAAGTTTGGTCAAATTTGGCCCAGTAGTTTCAGAGGAGAAGATTTTTGTAAAAGTTTACGGACGACGGACGCAGGACGACGGACGACGGACGCAAAGTGATGAGAAAAGCTCACTTGACCTTTCAGGTCAGGTGAGCTAAAAAAGGGGGGATTTTCCAGTTTTCGGACAAAAACTAAAAAATTCTTTCAGCAATTCGTATGAAACTTTGGTGAATTGTTTGTATGTATTGATGTAAGCTCCCTTTAGAATTTTATAAATTTTACATTTTACATTTCTG